GCGCATGATAATGGTGAGACCTGGACGACATGCATTAAGCAAGAGAAAAGGATAAACCATTCTTGCCGTCACTGTCTCAAACATATGCTTGGTAACTCTTGACAGAATAAGGTCACTAACTCAGAGATCCTGAAGCATGCTAATTCCATCAGTGTGCACTCATTACAAATGAAGTCTGTACTGGTTTGGACATGTTCATTGGCTGGATGACAGTTATAGACACAAATGACTTCTCCATGATGAATTGGACATTGGGTCATGATTTCCCAGATGTTCATCCCTCTACTATCTGCAAGTAAGTTATGAATATCGTGGTCATTAACACTTACAACTTGGGAGAAAATCCCTGATAGCTGTGACTTCTACAGGTTAATTGTTTGGAAGCACTTTGTAAGTGGCAGAAACAAAAGGCTGAATGGGCCAAGAAGAAGGCCCAGAGAAATCAAAGGCCAGCAAATCATGCATTTTCTCAGCCCACTGCCTTCGTCAGCAGCAAATGTGATGGAGCCTGACACCCCAGAGTGGGGCTCCTAAATAGCAACAGACAGTGCTTAACATAAAGTTGACCATTATGACACAAACCATTGACTTATAAGATAGGAAGCTGCTATAAATATAAGTAAATTTTGCTATTCAGCATTTTATGTGAAAGCTGAGGGTCAGTGGTAGCAATCTCTGGCTCTTGGTCCAATGGACTTGTATATGAACTGACACTTCAGTACCATTGCAGAGGTAGTGTTGTATAGTTAAGGTTGTGATCTTTCCCTTAGGATATTCAAATGAGGCCACTTTTAAGCTCTCAGGTGGATGTAAAATAAAATCTCAGGGTCCTATTTCATAAACACAGGGGAGCTTTCCAAGGAGATTTGATTCAAAATTTGTCCCTCGACCAACATTCCTATAACATATCCATTCATTATCTCAGAGCAGTGTGGGAATTAGCTATGGGCAAATTTGCTTCTACATTTCCTACATTAAAAATTCAAAAAGGAACTGCATTGGATTGAAAGAGCTTTAGGATGTCCTGAGGTTGTGAAAAGTGCTGTGGAAATGCAAGTTTTTTTTTTGTTTCCTGCACCCACAACATTAAATGTAACAAACTCAGCCGTGCCTATTAACCTCTCCACACCCTGTTGTATAAACTTCTCCCGCTTTGCATCTGTTTGCGCATCCCTTGACCTTTAAACTCTAACTCTGACTAATTGTATACATTATTTTTTGGAGAGTTTTTATTAATGTTTTTATTAATTTTGAGCATATGGGAATGACTAACAAACCTGGTATTTTGCCTGTTCTTAACTACCCTTTGAGAAGCTGGTGGTGACCTGTCTTCTTGAATTGTTGTAGTTACTGTGATACATGGGGGGGTCTGTTAGCTAAGCTGGCTGGATGTAGAGTGATGCCAACAGCATGGTTTAAATTCCCACACTGACTGAGATTAACAAGAAGGGCTCTCCTTCTTGATCACTCGCCTCTCATGAGGCATGTTGACCCTCAGGTTGACTCCACCTGATGAAGGAGCAGCACTCAAAAAGCTTGTGATTTCAAATAAACCTGTTGGACAATAACTGATGTTGTGTGACTTCTGACCTTGTCCACCCCAGTCCAACACCAGCACATCCACATCACTACCCTCAGGTTAAACTAACACCATTCGTCTCTCTAGAATGAGAGCAGCCCTCTGGCCTGATAAGACCATGGTGACTTTACTTTTATGCTATAGTGATGCAATACAGGTTTTTGACCTAGCAGCGTGAAAGAATGCCAATATGATTCCGAGTCAGAACATAAGAACATAAGAACTAGGAGCAGGAGTAGGCTGTCCGGCCCTTCGAGCCTGCTCCGCCATTCAATAAGATCATGGCTGATCTTTTCATGGACTCAGATCCACTTACCTGCATTCTCACCGTATCCTTTAATTCCTTTATTGTTCAAAAAAAATCTACCTTATCTTTAAAAACGCTTACTGAAGTAGCGTCAACTTCACTGGGCAAGGAATTCCATAGATTAACAACCCTCTGGGTGAAGAAGTTCCTTCTCAATTCAGTCCTAAATCTGCTCCCTCTAATCTTGAGGCTATGCCCTCTTGTCCTAGCTTCACCTGCCAGTGGAAACATCCTCTCTACTTCTATCTTATCTATTCCCTTCATAATTTTATATGTTTCTATAAGATTCCCCCTCAATCTTCTGAATTCCAATGAATATAATCCCAATCTACTCAGTCTCTCCTCATAAGACAACCCCCTCAACTCCAGAATCAACCTAGTGAACCTCCTTTGCACCCCCTCCAGTGCCAGTACATCCTTTCTCAAGTAAGGAGACCAAAACTGCACACAGTACTCCAGGTGTGGCCTCACCAGCACTTTGTACAGCTGCAACATAACCTCTCTGCTTTTAATCTCAATCCCTTTAGCAATGAAGGACAAAATTCCATTTGCCTTCCTAATTACTTGTTGTACCTGCAGACATACCTTCTGTGATTCATGAACAAGGACACCCAGGTCCCTCTGCATAGCAGCATGCTGCAACTTTTTACCATTCAAGTAATAATCCTTTTTACTATTACTCCTACCAAAATGTATGACTTCACATTTATTTACATTGTATTCCATCTGCCAGACCTTTGCCCACTCACTCAATGTATCTATGTTCCTCTGCAAAGTTTCACAGTCCTCTGCACACTTTGCTCTGCCACTCATCTTAGTGTCATCTGCAAACTTTGACACCCTACACGTGGTCCCCAACTTCAAATCATCTATATAAATTGTAAATAATTGCGGTCCTAACACCGATCCCTGAGGCACACCACTAGTCACTGACTGCCAGCTAGAATAGCACTCATTTATCCCCACTCTTTGCTTCCTGTTAGTCAACCAATCCTCTATCCATGCTAATACTTTACCCTTAACGCCATGCATCCTTATCTTATGCAGTAACCTCTTGTGCGGCACCTTGTCGAAGGCCTTTTGGAAATCTAGATACACCACATCCACTGGGTTCCCATTGTCCACCTTGCTCGTAATGTCTTCATAGAATTCCAAAAGATTTGTCAAGCATGACCTGCCCTTCATGAACCCATGCTGTGTCTGCCCAACGGGACAATTTCTATCAAGATGCCTTGCTATTTCTTCCTTGATAATAGACTCAAGCATCTTCCCCACTACAGAGGTTAAGCTAACCGGTCTATAATTCCCCATCTTTTGTCTACTTCCCTTTTTAAACAGTGGCGTCACATTTGCTGTTTTCCGATCTGCTGGGACTGCCCCAGGGTCCAGCGAATTTTGGAAAATTACCGCCAGTGCACCTGCTATTTCTTCCACCATTTCTTTTAGTACCCTGGGATGCATTCCATCAGGACCAGGAGACTTATCAATCCTTAGCTCCATTAGCTTGCCCAACACTACCTCTTCCGTAATAATGATTGTTTCCAGGTCCTCACTTGCCTTCATCTCTTTGTCAATTACTGGCATATTATTAGTGAAGACCGATGCAAAATACCTGTTCAATGCCTCAGTCATTTCATCATATCCCATAACTAAATTCCCCTTCTCATCCTCTAAAGGGCCAACGTTTACTTTAGCCACTCTTTTTCGTTTTGTATATTTATAGAAACTTTTGCTATCTGTCTTTATATTCTGTGCCAGTTTTTTCTCATGTTCTATCTTACTTTTCTTTATAGCTCTTTTTGTGGCTTTCTGTTGACCTTTAAAGTTTTCCCAATCTTCTAGTTTAATGCTGTTTTTGGCCACTTTGTATGCCTTCTCTTTCAATTTGATAGCCTCCCTTATTTCTTTAGACACCCATGGCAGATTACCCCTTTTCTTATAGTCCTTCCTTTTCATGGAATATACTTTTGCTGAGAACTTTGAAAAATTGCTTTGAAAGTCCTCCACTGCTCGTCAACTGTCCCACCATAAAATCTTTGTTCTCAGTCTACTTTAGCCAAGTCCTCCCTCATTCTATTGTAGTTCCCCTTGTTCAAGCACAGGACCCTGGTATTGGATTTTATCTTCACACTCTCCATCTGTATTCTAAATTCAACCATACTGTGATCACTCCTTCCAAGAGGATCCCTAACTATGAGGTCATTAATTATTCCTGCCCAAATATATTCCCGGCAGCCCCCTGGTCCTCGCTGTCGCCTCTCTCTCTGCTGCTGAAAAATGAAAGGATAGCGTAAGACTTGGAAGGGAACTTCATGGAGTTCTCATGCACTATTGTCTTTCTACAAAATTCCTGGATTCAGGAGATGTTGTCAAAGGAGCCTTTCCAAACTGCTGCAATGTGTCCTGTAGATAGTACCCTCTGCTAACCGTGTAAAACTGTAAGAAGTAGGAGTAGAAGTAGGTCATTTGTCCCTTTGAATTCACTCCTCCATTCAATGAGATCATGGTTGATTGGATTATTCTCAACTCTATTTTCCTGCTTTATCCCTTGATAATTCTTGATTCCCCTTATAATTGGGAACTTGTCTATCCCAGCCTTGACTATACTTAATGCCACAGTTTCAACAGTCCTCTGCAGAAAAGAATTCCACTGATTCACCACCCTCTGAGAGAAAAAAAAATCCTCCTCATACCTGTCTCAAATGGGTGACTCCTTACTCTGTGCTTATGCCCTCTGATCCTAGGCTCTCCCACAAGAGGAAACAATGTCTCTAAATCCACCCCTTCAAATCCCCTACCAGTCTTAAATATTACGCTAAGGTCACCTCTCAACATTCTAAACTCCAATGAGTACAGGCCCAACCTACTCAACCTCCCATCATGAGAAAACCCCTTTACACCCGGGATCAACATTGTGAACCTTCTCTGGTGTACTTGGAAATGATGGATATTTAATGCAGTGGAGGAGCTGGCTATTAAGGGACTGTTTTGTTGAAATAAATCCATCCAATCACCTTAAAATTAAAACACTGATTATTTGCTAGTTCATTAACGTGGCACATGATGAGCATTTGCTTATTATTACATATGTTTATCTTGGTTTTATTTTTTCAGGAAACTGAAATTTCGAAGGAAGGAAACTAAGTCAGAACCAAATATGACAACTAACATATTAAAGGATTTGCTGAAAATACCAGAGAAATATCACGTTGTTCAGCAATTCAACCAGAGCGTCATCTTTGCTTCACAAAGAACCAAAGAATACATTGGATTCGAGGACCCTGAGTCCAAACTGAAGGTAAATAATTCGATGTTGACTGATATTTTCCTGATGACCTACATTAACCGAAGCATTCAGTGTCAGCTGACAGAATCAATCAGTTGTACAAAGATGACTGACGAGCAAACAATCCTTTTGGGTACGGATTGGGTTTGGGCTGTGCAGGACGCATCTTCCAAAAACCCCAAGGTGCAGATTGCAGTGCAAGCCATTCACATGGAGAACAAAGAAGACCAAGCAATGAAGATGAGATTTCAGGCGACTGAGTCCTTGAAGCTGGCAAGGCAAGAGACAATCAACAAAACCGACCCTGAGAAATTCAGCGATTTCTGTTCATCGATCGGGAAAGACTGTTACGGACTATTTCTTTTCTTTGGGCTCAAGGGTGACCCGAAGACCATCTGTGGCATCCTGAGCAATGACTTCCACGCACACTTGGGAAGTGGCCAAGAGGTTGACAACACTTTCTTGCTGGATTGCATTGAGAAGGCTAAGACTTTTGTCACTCCAGGAAGAATGTTGGAGCTGATCCTTCAGAAAGGAGGTGTACCAGACAGCTTAAAGCCAATCTGTGTCAAGTTTACACAATAAACTACACCCAGGATAGCACTTTTAACAGTTTGCAAAACTTTCCAACAAAAGAAAGAAAATCTTTTCATTATCACTTGAGGAAGTAGAACTTTCCAACATAGTTATCCACCATTTTAGAAATGCTTCATGCCTATCGATGGAATTCCCCTCGATTAATTCCGATAGACAAGAGGAGCTTTTATTCTTCAGTCATTCTTATGATTAGAAGTAGTAGAATCATAGAATTTGAAAAGGAAGAAGGAGGCTATTCATCACATTGAGTTTGTGTCAGTTCATTTGAAGTGTAATCCAGTTCCCAAATGGTGAATGACTCATAAAATTCCTACAGTGTGGAGCAGGCCATTCAGCCCAACAAGTCTACACTGCCCTCCGAAGAGCTTTCCACCCAGACACATTCCCCCTGTCTAACCCACCTACCTTAAACATCCCTGAACACTATAGCATGGCCAATCCACCTAGCCTGCACATCTTTGGACTGTGGGAGGAAACCGCAGCACCCAGATGAAACCCACGCAGACACAGGGAGAATGTGCAAACCCCACACAGACAGTTGCCTGAGGCTGGAATCGAACCTGGGTCCCTAGTGCTGTGATGCAGCATTGCTAACCACTGAGCCACTGTGCTGACCCTTTTTAAAACAAATCTTGCCTTGTGTACTTTAAAATGGATGTCCAGTACTGGAACAAATATTAGATATGGAGCAAATAATACTGGTTTTACACTGGTTTTTCCCTCTTGAGTTAATGTCATTTCTGGGAACTTTTTCCCATATCCCTGCAAGTATTTCACCTTAGTATTCGTCCAGTACCCTCTTTCAAAGATTTTATTCAAACAACATTCACCACCTATCATTAACTGTATTCCTAATCCTAATCAATTAACACATATTGAAGATGTGCCTCATGTCACCCCTTCTTATTTTGCCAATCACTTTAAATCAATGTGTCTGGTTGTTGACCCTTGTGTAAATGGAAACAGTTTCTCTTTATGTACTCCATCTAAACATCAGAACAGAGGATGAATCTCTAAATTCAAACACCTCCATTAAATCTCCTCTTAGCCATCTCTGCTCTAAGGAGAACTTTAATTGTTAGTGTGCTTCATTTTCAGGATCTGTGAATATGTGGGTCATCATATGACAGCAAGTGCCTGGCAAGGGAGACCAGAAGTATCAGATGAGCTGTATGGACTTCCTCATTCCCCTGGGGAGTGGAAACAGATTCAGACCTGCCTTTCAAAAAGGAACTGGATAAATACTTGAAAGGAAAGAAGATGCAGGGCTATGAAGGAAAGATCAGCAACTGGTGGAACTGATTGGATTGCACTTTCAAAGAGCTGGCACAGACACAATGGGGCCAAATGGACTCCTCCGCTGTACCATTCTATGACCACAGATCACTCCACTCTGAGCGTAGCTGATTTAAAAATTGAACATACTTATATTCAAAGTATGAAAAAGATGTTTTGAGAAACTTAAGCACAACAGAGGTTCAAGGATAAATTATGAATTAATGATATAGGGTCTGCTGCATCATTTGTTAAGATCATGTTTGATCAGATTGTGATCTCAAAACCACATTGCTGCCTTCCTCCCTGCCAAACCCACCCCAAATAACACATGACTCACCTGTCCACAAAATGTTGTTTTAAAAGTATTCTCCGTCTGACCTTTCAGTTTGGTTTCCGCATTTTGAATTTTCTTGTCCTCTACTTTGGTGACAGTCTTTCCAGGTCCCTGATGCCCTTTTTGTTTTTGGCAACAGAGTTTGTAGCTCTGGTAGTTGCCTTTAAAGAAGCCTCAGCAAGTTGCTGCAGTACATCTTGTAGAATGGAGTGTACACACTGCTGCTATTGAGTAAAACTTTAGGACACTGAATGATCAGTTCCAGAATAAATATCAAGGGCCAGAATTTAGCCTTCACTGCCTGCGAAGTAATTTAGAAAAACAGATCACCTAATATTTATGAGTCACCTTAACTGAGCACATATCACCATCTACAGTTTAAAGATGAAAAATTGACATCTGAAAGTAATTATGGTATGATAAACAAAAACAGAGTTAATGTTTCGGGTGTGGTGACCCTTCCTCAGTGTTCTGGGTCGCTGAACAGGAAACGTTAACTCTGATTTTTCCTCACAGATGCTGCCAGACCTGCTGAGCTTTTCCAGCAACTTCTGTTTTGCTTCCTGATTGACACCTTTCGGTTTTTATACGGTATGATACAGTGGCCTTAAAAGATGCTTTACCTGGAATCTGATGTACTTTGTGTAATGTATGAGCTTAACCAGTCATTAAAGGGTTAATAAATCAAATATATTGAAATGTATTATAGTACCTAGCTACTGGCTTCACTTTTTATAGGAATTACAGCACAAGTAAAAGCCTTTCAGCCAGTTGCCTCAGAGCCATCTCATCAATTGGAGCCACCTCCTCAAATCCCATATCTAATCCTGCTCCAAGTGAAACACAAAAGAATATATATTCTCACCTGTCAAGACCAGACTGGAGAAGGTAGAGTTGGTCTCCTCAAGATTAAAAAACTTTAAGGGGGAGGTTTGTGGAGGTGTTAAAAATCATGAAAGGTTTTGATAGACTGAATAAGGAGAAACTCAATCCAGTGGGAAGAGAGTCAGTAACCAGATGATACAATTAAAGATAACTGACAGAAGAACCATAGGAGCTAAAGGGTTGTTTTTTTCACCACAGTGGTAACACAGTGTGGAGCTGGAGGGACATAGCAGGCCAGGCAGCATCAGAAGAGCAGGAAAGCTGACGTTTCGGGCCAGGACCCATTTCTGAAGAAGGGTCCCGACCCAAAACGTCAACTTTCCTGCTCCTCTGAAGCTGCCTGGCCTGCTGTCTTCCTCCAGCTCCACACTGTGTTATCTCTGACTCCAGCATCGGCAGTTCTTACTATCTACGGTAATCAAGAGGACTGCTTTGGCCTAGATAGTGTCGAGCTTCTTGAATGTTGTTGGAGCTGCATTCATCCAGGCAATTGGAAAGTATTCCAATACTCCTCCTTTATGCCTTGGAGGCTTTTGGGAATCAGGAGGTGAGTTACTCACAGCTGAATAGACAGATTCTGACTTGCTCTTATAGCCATGGCAATAAAATTATACACATACACGATACCCTGCAGATGTATTACCCCAAATCACTCACTCACTTGTGCACACAGTCATGCTAACCAGTGCATGTGCATACTGTCTTATAACTACAATCGATTTATGTGACTTTTGGAAAAAAAAATCATGCCACCTATTTGTTCTGTGGATGATTTATGTTTAAGTTTGATATTAAATACACCATTTGGGACTGTAGTAATGGTCTTGGACCTCAGTAGGTCCACAACTGACTCTTAGTGAAATGCTTAATACCCAAATCCCCATTCCGGGACTTGTCAGTTACAGAAGAAGTATTTATGCCGTGCTTCAATGGATTGATAATCAGCCTGCTAACCATTCCCCAAATATGAAGAAAGGGTATGTGAAGGTGCAAAGTGCACTTTGGTCACTCTATTTGAAAGAATTAAGGGTGTCTGTCGTACCCCATTACCTTCAATTTTACCTGAATAACCACCCTGTTTTGGAGCAGACTAGGGGAAAGTTTTTCAATTCTTTTATAGGCTGTGAACATTACAGAGAAAGTCGCCAGGAAGCCAAAGAACAGACTATTAATCATTGTAGAACTGACATGAAGCTTACTTTACAGTAATTGACAAAAAAGCAATTTTCCAAAGATGTTAAAGAAAACACATCTTCAAAGTGTATTGCAGCTTGTTTAAAAACCAACTTAAAGTCTGATTTATGTGCACATATCATATTACAAAGTATGCTACAACAAGAAAGAACTTGTACCTTTCACAATTTCAGGATGTGCAAACCAGTTTATAAACAATTTCAAATATATGTAAAGTGTAGTGTCTACTTAAAGCCAATTTGCACTCAGGGAAGGTGATGGCCTAGTGGTATTATCGGTGGACTGTTAATCCAGAGACCCAGGTAACGTTCTGGGGACCCAGGTTTGAACCACACCATGGCAGATGGTGGAATTTGAAATTAATAAATAGCTGGAATTAAGAATCTAACGATGACTATGAATCTATTGCCGACTGTCAGGAAAACACATCTGGTTCACTAATGTCCTTTAGGGAAGGAAACTGCCATCCTTACCTGGTCTGGCCTACATGTGACTGCTGACCCACAGCAATGTGGTTGACTCTTAACTGACCTCTGGACAATAAATGCTGCCTAGCCAGCGACGTCCCTCACCCCATGACTGAATAAAGGAAAACAAAGATTAAGTCACATGCGATCCGTGGTGATTTGGTAAGTTGAATACAAAATTGACTTGGTCATAGAAGACAGAGTGTGGTTGTGGAGGGGTGATTTCCTGACTGGAGGTCTGTGAAGCATTAGTGTTCCACAAGGATCAGTGCTAGCGCCTCTGTTGTTTGTAATATATATAAATGATATGGTTGAAGATGTAGGTGGTGTGATTAGTAAACTCGCAGACAGCAGAAAAATTGATGGAGTTTAGACAGTGAGAAAGGTTGTCAAAGGACACAGCAGGGTAAAGATCAGTTGGGAAGTTGAGCGGAGAAATGGCAGATGGGGTTTAATCTGGAAAAATATAAAGTGATGCATTTTGGGAGATCAAATGTAAGAGGAAAGTATGCAGTAAATAGGAGGACCCTTAGGAGCATTGATATACAGAGGGATCTTGGGATACAAGACCATATGGCTCCCTGCAAGTGGCAAAACAAGTGGAAAAGATGGTAAAGAAGGTTTGTCTTCATCACTTGGGGCATTGAGTATATAAGTCATGTTGCAACTGTATAAAAACTTAGTGTGACCACATTTGGAATAGTTCTGGTTACCACATCATAGGATGGATGTGGAGGCTTTGGAGAGGGTGCAAAAGACGTTTACCAGGACATTGCCTGGATTAGAGTATATTAGCTTTAAGAAGAGGTTTGACAAACTTGGATTGTTTT